CCATAAATTTTTTAAATTTCATTTGCTTTTTGGTCAACAAGAACTAGAGGATGTATTATTTATATCACACATTCATCTCTATAGTAAGCTCGAGATCACAGGACACAACATTATAAATTTAAGCAAGATTTTTATTGGTACTTTCAATACATTTCAAGAAAGACAAGAGCCTTACTGTTTAGTGCAATCCATTGGCTTAAAAGAGACCACTTGTGCTTCCAAATCAAACCCTATTAAGTAATTCGCTTGCACGAAATTACCATAAATTCCAACATCACTACTAGTATTTGTCATTGCAAAGCAAAAGACCCCATCTTTTGGAGGAATAAAGGTATGTATTGGATTCAACACAACATCTCCACCTTCAAAATGAGCCGTCAATTTTGGACCATTAGGATTTGTATTTGTTCTGTAACAAAGTTGGTTCCCTAATTCTGGGTCATCCTCAATAGGTTCCAATGAAACCACTTGTTTTCTGACTTCTGATACCAATCTGTCATAAAAATCTTGAGGTAATATAGTTGGAGGTGTGCCTGAATCAAGAAGCATGTTACCTTTTGCAGCTGCAGCATTATTGTTACCATTAAAGGGAAGGAACGTGCTTTCCACACTAATTCCATTTAGTGTAACAAAGTAAGGTGTTTTGTCTTGTTTGGATACTAAAGGTGTTGAAACAACACCATTTCCTGAAACTTGACTTCCATCACCAAAACTCATTTTGCTTGAAATTCTTGTGTCAGTGTGAAATGGAACCAAACACTGTGAAAACATTTTCTTGATTCCAAAAGAAGAACCCATTTGAGAAATAAGGGACAATGGTCCTCTACCTAGTCCTACAATACCCATCTCATGATCATTGAAAGTTCCTTTATCATTATGTCCACAACCAAAAACAACGTTGTTCAGGGTCGTCATCACCTGGCCACCTTGTCCTCTTGTGGTTGACTTCAGAATGAGTGTTTCCTGTGATAAAAAGCCATGAGTTTCTGATGAATCTGCATAAGCGTAAGTGTAATTGCAGACTTTTTGGTCACACCCACGAGAGACTGGATCAAGCATGAGACATTGAGACGATGAGCAGGAAACAGCTTTGTATGTTGACGAGGTTTGAGGATTGAACATAGGATTGATTTGTTTGTAGCAGCCATCGCAGGGAACACATTGAGTCCATATAAGGTCACTTCCTGTGTCTGCTATGCCAAATATTTCCTTTGGTGGTGTCCCTAAGGATATCTTTATGAGATGTTGACCTAGATACCCATTTACAGGTGCTTGAGCAATTTTTGATGATGAAGATGGTGACAACTTCATGGGACGACCTCGCCATGGGATCAGTTCAACGCTAAAGCCGCCATTAATGGCTTTTACAGAAGAAGAAGAAGAAGAGAATAGTAGTAACACATGAAGAATGAGGATCTTCGTTGTGATATTCATTAATGGAGTGCCCATTATAATGAGAGAAAATGAGAGTATTGGCTTATGGTTGATTAGGTGGAAGAGGACGAAGAGCTTTTTCGTAAGAGGCTTGAAGTTCAGTGGATTTTATAGATGCTGTTAGCTAGGGTTTGTGTTCATTATACACGACTGTGCAAAAGAAGCCATTGATGACCTAACAAGGAATTTAGGAAGATTTGGCTAACTACGTATAGTATGAACTAATCTCGGAAATGTATCTTCTGCATTAATGTTTATCAATCTCGTACGTGTTTTGTTGGATGACTACGTTTGTACGTCTTTCACATATTCATGTAAATTGTTTTCGATTTTATTTGTGAGAAAATCCGATATGCAAATCTCTATAATCTTATCTTATTAAGTCTGCCTGTAGGTTTTTTCCCCCTCTTTATCGAGTCTTTCTAGTTTTCTCAATTACAAATATTGCTTCTCATAATTTGTTAATTTCTACAAACAAATCCCCCCCCCCCCACACACACATCTCTAGATAAAATGAAAATCAACTAGATTGGAAACTATATATATAGATGCAAGGAAATTAGGAAAAGATCATGAACATAACAACTTTGATTCTGTTCAATTATTTTTGTATTTCAAATATTTTTGTTGTTAATGTTTCATTCTGTTCAATTTTTACCTTTATATTGGTAATAAATAAATTTTATTCCATTTTTTTAAAACATCTCTTTCATTTTGTATTTTGAGACAATTTATATGTTGCTTAGTAAGAACCCACGTCAATCATAATTAATATAGAGACTAATATCTATAATTAAGACAATTATAAGGCCCAATAATAAATATTATGGAGACTTGATTAAAAATTAAGTGAAATTATAAGAACTACAAACTAATTTCCCTTATTTATTTTCTTATTCATTCGATGATGCGCTAATTATTATACACAGTGATTTTCATTACAATTAAAAACTGATGTTATCAAAATACATCAAAGATACGTAATACTACTATATAATTATTAGAAAGAATGTGCAAGAGTCTATCGAAAATTAATTGGAAATGATCTTCGTCTCTTCGTCTTTCCAACGCGGAATCAAGGAGAAGATATATATAAATATATATATATATATATATATCTAATTCAATTTGAATTTCTTTTTTGGGCAAGAAAATCAATGAAAATGTTAAACTTATCCATTAGAAGAGAGATACGCAAGGGCAGATTTTTCATTCTTATGCCCTTTTTAGTTTAGATTGTAATGTAGATGGAATTCATATAGAACGTGCATGGATTTCATTCTTGAAAGAGATAGAGATAAGATTCATATGTAGGAAGAAAATTATAATTATAATTATAAATTATAAATCTTAAAAACGAACGTGTTGGAGTTAATGACTGGCCAATCACAGAAAACTTGTACTAAACGTCACAAATGCTCTTTTGAGAAATTAATCATCAATCAATCAACTATCTAATATTCTTGAAATTTTATAATACTCCATTTGTGTAAAAATGAGTCAGATATAATATTATGGGATCTGAATATATGTAATTAATGAAATTTGAATAATATCTTGATTGGAATTTAAATGTATTGAATTAAATGGGAAGGATTATAATTAAATGAGATTTTCATTGGAGGCTAAAATGGAAAAATTAATAATTAATTTTGGATTTGAAAAATATCTTAATTGATATTTGAATATATTGAATTAAATGAGGGGTATCATTATTAAATCAGATTTCAATTGAGTGCTTAAATAAAAAAATCAGTAATTAATTTTAAATTTAAATAATATCTTAACTGGGAGTTGAATATATTGAATTAAATAGGAAGAATCATAATTAAATAGTATTTCAGTTGAAGGCTTAATTGGAAAGATAAATAATTGAATCTTTAGCAACCTAAGATAATGCAATCTATTAGAATTTCAAATCTAATCAAATATAGTAATATAGTACTACGTGCATTGCAGAGGAGAAAAATTTCTAGTTATAATCTTTAAATTGAGTAATATAAAAAAAAAAAATCTTTTTATACTTGATCAATCTATGTAAAAATCATTTTTGAATATTTTCATACTTTATTATTTTGTTATCAATAATTCATAATTTATTTAAAATAAAACATAGCATATTATTATTTTTATTAAATATGTGAATAACTTTTATATTAATTATTAAGTTGATAAAAATATTTTAATAAATTTCTAAAAATTTAATGCAAATGGCTAATTGTTTGTATTTCAAAATTTAAAATTCGATTAGTTTTTGAACGTTTCCAAAACAATGTTAGCGCAAAATATAAATATATTTTTATAATTACTAATATTTTAAAAATAGGACACATGACTATAACGATTAGAAAATTTGATATAATAAATATAAAGAACTTGATGTAAGTATTAAAAAAAACTCAAGTTAAACTGCTTATATCCATTATGTGAAGTTCTTTAATCAAACATAACCATGTGTCCATTTTTATTATCCAATCAAGAAACTGGATGTAAGTATTATTCTTAATTAAAATGATCACAAATATTTAATATTTGATTAATCATTTCTTATTGTTGAAGAAATCGGTTAAAACAATATAACTTCTGAAAGAGAAGAAAGAAAGAAAGTGATTTTTTGTGTGGCCAGAAATAAGAAAGTAATTTGCTCCTTTAAATTAGAAGAAAGACCTGAATGAATAAACATTTGAAGAAATCAAGAGTTCAAATTCTCATATTTAGAGTAGTCACAACTAAACAATAGTAATTAGAAGTTCTTTGATCTTGTGTCTCTTTGCCTATCTAAAGTTTCGAGTCTGTATTTTAGTGCATAGCGCACACATCTTCAAGGCATTAATTACATTTCTCACAAACACAGGGATTGTTAAATACCAAAAAGGAATACATGATTATCACGAATCTATTATATATCATAAGTCAAATAACTCTATGTATGCACCTGTTCTGAAGTTGGCATTACAAATCGCCTTCACTAGTCAAAGCCAGAACACAACTTTTGATGAGATAGACCGCAATTCTTGAAACAAGTTATGCATCAGAAACAGACAACGTCTTAAATGTAACTGATATATGTCAGTCATCAATCAACCGACACAATATCTTCAATTTTGAAGCCCATTCACACCTACATAATAGTTCAAATGCAAATGAGCTTCAAGCATTTGGTCAGATGCTTAGAGATAAACCTGCGATTCAACTGCTTACATATATAATCTGGAACTTATAAAGCTTGAGATTTGGTTGGAAAAAGACTGCAAGTCAAACTGAATGTAACAATCCCCACACGAAGAAAATTGAGGCATCAATTAAATTCGACCTTGCTCTGGCTGAAACAATAGTGACAAGCCTAAGGAAAGAGGTGAGCCGGAGAGGAAAAGAGGTTCAAACACGTGTCTACATTTATTTTATTACTTTAAAGAATTCCCTTGTAAGTAAACTTAAGATGAGTCCGACAACCGGGGAAGACCTATCAGCAATGATGTTTTAGGGATGAGTCCAGTAGAATCTGTTTTACATCGCCATACACGGAGAAAATGCAACAGGAAAAGTTCGAGGCAGTGCAATTGAGGTTTTCTCTCAAGTTCCCGAAAGCACATCTATAACAAAGTGAAAAATTCAGACATAGCAATTGTTGACAATGAAGCTGACGGCAAATCAAGGTAGTCTGAGCAATACACTAATAGTGCACCAATATGATGAATCATATAAACAAACTAGCACTGTTTGCATCTACCAATAATCATTACAAGAACAGATTCCATCTTTGAAGTGATGATACCTAATCCGGTCTCTGACTATAATTACTCGGTCATAAACCATAGAAATGAACTTTGTTGCTTGATGGCAATCCCAACAAACTCTTAAATTCTTCACAATGCGAAGGGGTGTTCCAGGTTCTGTGTTCATCAACCCAAAAGCTATAGCCAACTTCTCACTGTGTATGGACAAAGCTGTCTCTTTATCTTCCTCATCATCAATATCAAGCAAAAGTTCACCAAATTCTGGAACATAACCAGCATTCCTCAACTTGGAAGTCATCTCATCCAAAAATGAATATAGCTCTTTAGTTTGAGAGTGGGATCTATCTCCAACAAGAAATTGATAGAATATGCCTTTCAGCTCAATTGAGCTGCATCCAGGAGTTTTCTTTCTTCCCCAATTGACTCCATTCTCTCTCAACATTTTTGCTTCAGTCCATCTTCCAGACATAGAATAGATATTGGCCAGTAGAATGTTACAACCAATATTGTCAGGAACCAATTCCTTAATTGTTTTGCCTATCCTGTGTCCCCGCATCACATCTTTATGGATTCTACAAGCATTGAGTAGCGCACCCCAAATTGCCACATCTGGAGTCATAGGCATACTTGAAATCATGTCTTCAGCCTCCTTCAATAGGCCAGCCCTACCCAGTAGATCTACCATACAACAATAATGCTCTATTTCTGGCTTTATCCCATAATCACACTTCATCGATCTGAAATAGAAATTTCCCTCCTCAACCATATAGCCATGGCTGCAAGCATTTAATAGAGAAACAAATGTGACCTTATTAGGGATAACTTTTTCCATCTTCATTTGTTCAAAAACTTTGATAGCCTCGTTCGGCTTTCCATGCATTGCAAGCCCACCAATGATTGCATTCCAAGGCCAAACTTTTCTCTTAACTTTGTGTTCATGGAAAACTCTTAATGCAAATTCTATCTCTCCACATTTTGCATACATGTCAATAAGGCCAGCATGTAGTCTTTCATTCAACTTAATCTCACCTTTGTCAATATAAACATGAATCCACTTTCCCTGATCCAAGGCTACTAAATTTGAACAGGCTGCAAGAGCACTTACCAAAGTGAATTGATTTGGTTTGGCACCAGCTTGCAACATCTTGTGGAAGAAATCCAATCCCTCCATGAAAAAACCACCCTATAATATTTGAGAAAAAGTTTAAACCACTTTAATAGTTATGGTGATTATGTGAAGCAAAAAATGAAAGGACCAAGCTTTAATGTGGCGTTTTAAGCATCTATATTAGATTCTCGAATGAAAATATGACAAATGGAGTTCTTTTACAGCTCAATAATGCAGGATTGGTCTCCTTTAAAAGTCATGTTATATATTTATTAAGGAGTCTGACAGTTTGATAGCAGTAAACGCTAAGAAATTTTAACGAGTCCTATTCAATAAGACAGTCCTCCAGCCACGAAATTCTATACTATAAATAAAACAGAAAAAGGGGAAAAAATCCAGCAAAACATAAGAGGTTAAATTGCATGTGTTTAATTTACACTACTGAGTACCTGCACATAACCAGCTATGATAGTACTCCATGATACAACATCTTGCTCTGGCATTTTGCTGAATAATTCTTTGGCTTGACCCATTTTGCCTGATCCAGTGTACACAGCCATCATGGTGTTCCAGGAATACATATCCCTAGCCACAGCCCAATCAAAAACCTTTCTGCCCTCCTCTACTAAACCCCACTTTCCATACATCCCAATTAAGGCATTAGTAACAAATAAATTGTTCTCAAAACCAAGTTTTATGGCATGAACTTGAACCTGCTTTCCCTGAAGGATCCCCAACCCGTTTCCACACGCATTGAAAATAAACACAAAAGTATACTGATTAGGCAAAAGACTTGAACTCTGGGTCATTAACTTGAATACCATGAAAGAATTATAAGATGAAGTGGGTGAGAGTGCATGAGCTTTTATTATGGTGTTGTAAACGAATAGGTCTGGATGGGGAATTTGTTCAAATACTTGATGGGCATAATGCAAAGAACCGAAGCTAGAAAAGCCAAGAAGTTTGAGGAGCTTATTGGCTGGAATGGGATGAAAAATTAGGCCGGTAGTGATAAGTTGAGCATGTGTTTGCTTGATTTGTTGGACTGAACTGCAAACATCTAAAATTGAAAGAAGGCCATAATCTGCATTGAAAGGTTTTCTGAAAGTGGAGCAGCAACGGATCATTCTTAGCAGTCACGCTCAACCATTAGGTCAGGCAGCGATAGAATCAGAATTGGACCAATCTGAGGTTGCACTACCAAGTTGCCTTCCAAATACCACAGATACAAATGAAAGTTTGAGTGGAGAATGAAGTGGATGGACGGACAAGCCCCAAAGCACTGTCAATTTGAGCACAATGTTGGCAGAAAAGAGAGAGAAAAAAGAGGAGACAAACCAAAAATATCCCCACAGAACAGAAAAAAGAGACTTAATAATTATACTCAATCTTGAAATGACAGTGCAAAGCAAGCTTAAGAAATTGACCATGTCCTCTTGAATCAAGATGTGCTGTTGCAAATGGTATAGTTCACTGGCTCCAAACGAGCAATTGTGGCTTTGTAACACTGTTCAAGGCATTGCTCTGAATATTCTATCTACTCTTTACCAAAGTCATTTTTGGTTGCACTTGTACCTAAAGGCCTTGATGTTGAAGAGTAGTCATAAAAACCTCCCAATAGCATATCATGCCACCAAACCTCCAAATGAATGTGCCACAAGGGAGAATTTTCGCACCTCAAGCCAATGTCTAACAACAGACCATATCTTAATATAAATTATTGAAAGCCAAAGATTCAGAAATGGAATAAGACATTTCAAAGTTAATATTCCTATGCCAAAGATCATTGAGTCCAGTGGCACAAGATGCACCCTTTGTGGCACCAAGTTTTAGGTTCGATTCCCAACTCAGGCTTTGCGCCTACCATCAAAGTTCAAAAAAACAAAAAGTTAATGTTCCTGTGAAATAACAACTGAACAGTCTGGAAAATATGAGAAATTAAGATGCTTGTATATTCTTTTGAAAAAAAAAAGGGGATAATATCATTATTACCAAAATACCGCTTCAGCTAGCCTACTGAGTAAAATGATTTAGATCATAATTACAAGAAAGAGAGAGATAGAGAATTCATCTTAATAACAATCAAAATGAGAAAGTACATGGTTAGCCGTGCCATCACTTACAAAAAGATCATCAGCCAAAGAAAGAAAGTTACTGATCCATTAACATGAACGATGATACTGCTTATATTCCATCAGAATGTTGACAATGAAACCAGTAGCTAATATGACCGGAATGTTCACGTTGAGCAATAACTTTATCTGGAAGCTTCTTCACAAATTCTGCTCTGTAGCATATTTCCAATTGGCAGGACTGATGTGAAGTGCATTTCAGTTCATAACATCATACCTAAAAATTATTTTATCAGGGTAAAAGTGAATTTTACCTGGAAAGGATGTTCCCCTGGGGACAAAATTGAATTTAGATTGATGGCACTGCTTCTATCCTTACTGGAAAGCCACGACAAATTCACCTTTTTTTAAAAAAATAAGTAGATAGATATGCTCCCGTAAGTACCCACACTAGAAAGGGAATAGCATAAATATCCATTTTGGCATGCCTAATTTAAGAAAAGAAAATTTGGTATACATGTATAAAATTGAAATATACTCTAATCCATATTTGCAAAGAAAAATGAAAGGAAAACAATAATTGAAGAAAGAGGTTACTGGGAACGGTTAAGGAAAGGAGATAAGAATACAGTAATTTAAAAGAGAAATAGAGAAACATGCTTTCACTCAAAAAGAGAGAGAGAACACGCTATTGAAATTTAGACATGGTGTTTGAACGATATAGAGCTGACAGAGAACAATGGCAGATGGAAACTTGAAAAATGAAGAAAGAGAAGTGACAATTATCAAAAAAGAGAAGTTGTTATGAGGGCGGGAAAGACACACCATTTGCATAAATTTAAAGGGGAATCGTAATGTACCTTTTGATGATATTGAGCAAAGGGAACTGTAGAAACTAAAGAAACAACCATGAAGATCCCTGAAACCACCATTATCCAATAACCCATTAAACAAACACCAATATCAGAAAAATGAAAGTCACACCAGACCATGAAAAGAATCAGAAAATATTTCTTGCTCTGCTTTGAAAACGGTTTCCTGCTTTGTTGTCAACCCCAGACCTCCGATTCCATTGGAAGAAGATTTCTATACCTTAAAACCCAGGCTCAAAAAATAGCGAACAGAGCATAAAATGAAACAGGTGCGGACACTCTTGACCTCATCATGGACAACAGCCGCTTAGAAATAATGGAGAGGAAAGGTGCAGAAGGAGGAGAGACGGAGAAATAGAAGATTGGGGGGAAGATGCAGAGACAACAGAGGTGGACGTAGAAAGAAAGAAGAGGAGATGGCTTTTTTTCTCTTCTTTTTTTTTCCTGGTCTGAAGGAAGAGGAGATGGTTAGCAAGCTAAGATAACTCGTACCCAATCATCAATCCGAAAGCCATCCTAACCTAATTCTCGTGGCTTTCTGCACAGCCCAGGAGCTAAACTTCAATAAGATCAACTAAATAGGGAGAGGGAGATAATCATAATAGTGAAGACGCAGGAGGAAAATAAAGAACAATGCCAAATAAACCATACCAACCCCATTTTCTTCCACTGTTTTTCTCCATAACCGCTAGTTGCTGAAACTTTCGTTCATGGCGTGTGAGAGGTTGCAAAATCGGCCGGTTAAAGGAAGAAGTTGCAGGGTTCCTTCCATTTTGACGGTGAGAAGAAGAGTAAAAAAAACGTCGCAGAGATTTTTTTTTTTTTTTAATTTCACTGTTATATAAAACTTGCTTACATATTTTTATAGAAAATGATTTTTTTAGAAAAATTATAAAATGATTAATATATTATGAAGTTAAATGTATAAATCAGATTGAGGTAAAAAGAAAATGTATAAATCAGATCATTCATTTTTTTTCTTACACACACACACACACATATATTATTATAGGTATATAATGTTATTTTAAAATGTCAATTTAACTATTACGTCACCAATATAATAAAACGGTACAATCGATCCAAACATTTAAATTATAACCCACTAGCTTTTACAATCCGACTTTAAAAACATTAGATAAAAGCATTAAAATTAAAATAAATGAAAAAATATTAAAATAAATATTCCTGATGTTTGTCCTTAATCTCTACATTGCTCATATTATCATTTGTAATATTGTTTTTCCCATTCTTCAATTTCAATACCAACCTATACAAAACATGACTTTTAAGTGCCAAAGTCTTAATCAACAATCAAATAGCCACTTGTTAGGAAAGAATAGGAGGGGGGCAAAAAAAAAAAGTAATACTACCACCTTTCATATTTAATATAACCTCCTATTCTAATTATAAGATCTTGTTTATAATATACAAATAAGGTTTTATATATAGAACCGAAAATAATATAAGAACTAATAACTAATTTGAAAAGATAAACAAAATTAGTTAAGTTGATTAATTATAACAGATGTGTCAACTTTTGTAAATTATCTTTTTAATCATGTGCACTGAAATTATCTTTTAGTAAAAACTCCTTATAATCAATAGGGATGTTTTAAGAAAAATATTATAAATTTAAGAGACAAAATGATTTTTTTTTTCTTTACCAGCATGAGACAAAATGAATTAAGATTTCATATTTAGGATCAAATTTAATTTCTAACTAACTCCTGTACCAAGAATATGAGGTAACACTACTTGAGGGATTGAAGACTTGATAATTGGTGTTAGGAATCTCTTCTCAATAGTTAGTTACATGTGTCAGGAATTCTACAGAATATTAGTCCCCCGAGGCTCAACCAAAGGTTAAAATCAAACAGGCGCCGCATAGAATTAGCTCTTCACCACCTCCAATCCATGTACAAGCATAAGATCGTTAACCTAAGATATCAGTAAACAGAACTGAAAGCTCCTTTCCCACACTGTCCAACAATTAGTTGAAGGATTTCTTTCCCCGCTTGGTTTTGTCTACAACAGAGACGACGTGGTACCTAGGACAAACAAACAGTATAATTCAAAGATGTCACTAACATTGGTGACTCAGCTTGTAATCAAACAACATTATAAAGAGCTGTGAAACATACCAGATGCCAATTCTTGCTCAATGGCTGCACCAGTACCTTGATTTCATGCACATTATGAAGAGGGGATGAATGAGGAAAGCAGAAAATTTTCTTTTTGAGATTGTTTCTTTCTCTAGTCCTTACATATGAACCCCAAGAAGCATTGCCTTCATTTCCAACATCTTTTAGAAAGAAGAGAATAGGCTTTCTACAAATAGATTTGGAAGGATCCCTGGCATCAAAGTCGAATTCATTCCTATGACTTATACCATTCCAGCTGAGTAGGTCCGTTCTGAGCGCTCCAACTCACGGGGTGAAACAACATTTGGCAAACTTGAACAACATAACCAAGCGAGACTGAAAATGTTAGATGCCGTCCATGGTCATAACAAATAGAACGCTGCAAGAAGCTTCTGGGATCAGCTCTCATGGCCTTTGTAAATAGTTTCAGGCTCTCCAAAGAGTTTAAACCAGGATAGAAGGGATCAACAGCTTCAACATGATGAATTGACACGAATGGTGCAATTGGGTGAGACGATAGAAGCCCATGGGCATCGCCCCTTATATCCCACTGAAAGGAAAGAAAAAAGAATTAATCTAGATTGACTATCGATATTCAATAATAAAAAGACATAGGATAGACGAGATTGAGTCATTAGTCGTGAAATAATTCTCATCAAACGTTTGATCTTTCTGAAAATAGACAGAAATTAAGAATGAAATAGTACAAATATAACGAAGAGAAAAATATTTAGAGGGCAGATGGAATTGATTTTTTTTGAAAAAATAAAATAAAAACCTGGTGAAAACCATGCTCCCAGGTCAAAGGAACACCAAGTTCAGTGATGCAGGCATGCAGTCGATCATCACTACCATAAAGTTTGGGGTATCTTTCAATACATTCATCAAGAATCGCAGAGAGTGCCTTGGCAAGGGGATGACTTATTGCGATCCCACCACCACCAAAGGCCATGGAATGACTGAAATAGGTATTGGCCGAATGGCTCTCTGAGGGGCTGCCTATGTAAATCATTTCAGAGGAATCATACTTGTTGAGAATATGGACAAGGTTATCCACATTGAAGATAGTATCATCATCACAGAGGACAAACCAGCGCACATCTGAGAGGCCAAGGCGAAAACTCTCCATCACAATGCGAGAAATTCTCAGGCCAGAAGGGTGACCCATAGGGTTAGTATAGCGAAAACGTGAGATGTCCTCAGAAACCATGATAGGGGGTAATAAATGATCTCCAGGTTCTTGAGGTACTTGTTCCTCTAACCATACATGGCCACGCATATCACTGGGACGCCACCACAGCCTAACATATTCTTTCCGCCGTCTCCACAGTTGAGATGATCCAGCTATGCCAAATACGACATGTTTAAGTGACAAGTCTTCTTGTTCAAAGGTACTATGATTATCATAGTGAATATGATCTCTCTCATAGCCTAGTGGGAGAGGAGGATGCAGCATAGCATTAGAATGTTGATCAGGAAAACAGATTTTCCAAGGAGGAAAATGGGGGCTACCCTCCCAATCTCTTAGGTGATGTAAGCATTGAGTGGTAGTGCTAGAGAAAATAAGGGAAAACCAAGCAATGGTGGAGATGAGTAGTGCTGCTATTGCAACTGCCCAGGTACCTGTACGGCTTTGACGCAACTGACGGCTTCTAGATTGGCCAGGAGGGAAAGAAGGCAGCTGGGAATTCTTGTCTTGGTCATGATATGATGACATAATCATCTTTAGTGTTTCAGTCATCATCACCATCACTCCGATGTTCATCTAGACCTCCCACTGCTAAAAGGGAGGCTGAAGGAGCTGAGGCTAAAAACTTATGGAGAAGTTTTAGAACAGCAACAGTAACACACCAGCAAAGTTGTTGCACCCTGCAAATGAAAAAAAAAAAGGTGAGCTTATAGTAATAAATAGGGCCAAAGAATATGCACAGATTTATGAAAACCAAAAGTAAAAATTGCTAGTCAATAAGTGGGTATAAAAACTAGAAGAACAAAACTGATCATGGAATTAACCTATAAAATTCATCTGGTATCTGACTATCACTACTTAAGATCCAGGACCAGGAAAGCAACCATGTTCCTATCAAAAGATTCACAATATACACAAATAGTTGCCTGACTAAATAAAGAATTTAGTTCATATAAACTTGAAAACATGTTTTATTTGGGTGTTTAACAAGCACTACATAAAAAGCTATCATAGGAAGTTGTACCGTCTATCACAAATTCCCAATGCACACTAGGATTCTTCTAGATGGTTAAAAAGGAGTTATTGTCAAATAAAGCTCTCAAATTATCCTCATAATCATGAAGTTGCGTCATTGTCAACATCACTAAGACATATACATATATATAAATTGGTTATGTTGAGATGAGTCGGTATTAGAGCCTTCATTCCTCTTTTAACACAAAGAAAAATGTTGAGCATGATCATCTTAGTCCTATAGGCATGTTGACAAAATCATTAATTCGTCTCAAAGGTTTGAAGAACGGAATTGGAGGAGGGGAGAGAACAATGATGCCGCCCTAAATGGTTAAATGACATCCTAGTACAGATAGTGATGACATCTTGCTCCACCCAAATTAGAATACATAACTTGCAATGAAGTTGGACATTGAAGATTCCAAGAGAGGCTTGATAGTTATAAAAAATACATGTTAAAATGCACCAGAGGGAGAGGGATACAAAGAGGGGCAACATGGGGGGGGGGGGGTGGAAGAATGAAAACATGGAGAAAAAAGAAAAATCATCATTTTTTAACATCTTCCAATAAACTTGTATGAATTGTAAAATTACCTCCCAATTTGCGATCCATCCAAAGAAATGAAACTTAACTCTTATCGATGAATTTCAAAGAAGCAAGACCAGTTCTACTGACAATGATATAAACATCCCGCCTTTCTAAGAAATCCCATACTTCTCCTATGTAACCTATTGCCAAAAATAATGTCATTCCAATAGCAGAAGCATTAAATATTGATTTGCCACAATTTGCAAACACCACGTTCGCAATACCCAAATCCAACCTCATTCTTAAGCTTGCAAGAAAACAACAACTACTCAGTTTTAAAATGATCCCCTTTCACATTCCCGATAAAAAGACAGATGACGGACAAGTATCCAGGATACAAGTCTCCACACCCTAACCTACTGTGCCCAGCTAAAAAGACTCTAAAATAATCACAGGATCCAAAAATTGGGAACTGATGGAAAAACATACTGAGGTTTACATCTTTAGGTGATCTATAATATAGTTAAGGTTGTTGATCTTATAATACAACTATGGGGACTTCTGTAGGTGACTAAATAAGGTAGAAACATAAACTAGTATCATCCGGACACTTTCATACATCACCAAAACACTATTCTGCTAAACACATAAATAGAAAATAGCACGAGTTTCTAAATTTTAAATATTGACTGAAAACACCTATAAACCAACAAGAAAGTCAGTATTTACACTTGAGAGATACACGGACAGTAATTGGTCAGGTATCTGAAAATGGTTCGTTGATCCAGACCTAAAACTTAGAATATTATACAGGGAAAACATAAACCAAATGACTGAAAACGTAGCAACAAGAATTGGTTTTGGGAACCAGATATTGTTACTTGAAAATTTAGCCCAAAAGGTTTGATAGGTATCGATTCAGGTACTATGGACAAATACTTCATAATTCTGAAAACATCAGGAAAGCGGAAAAAGTCACTTGGCGAATTGAGTTCCTTCAGTCAATCTGGATGGCTGCTCAATAAAGTGACCAGATGCTTGTACAGCATCCACGTGCAGGGAAGGGGGGTTGGTAAAACACAAAAGAGAAACCTAGAAGCATGAAAAGGAAATATCTAAACTCTAACATCATGAAGGAGGTCGAATACATCCATAACAGCTTGGTATACCACGCATAGTGACCAAGTGAAATGTGACCATCAGATGTTACCAAACAGCATCAGTAGAAATTACCATGAGTAATGGGAAGATCAGACATGAACACTGACATGAACACTTGAACGGAGGCCGGAGATCTTGGCAGAAAGATATGAAGTCGTGACAATACCAGAGTTGCATGGTGTGCGCAACTATGTAAAAGTGATTTCCATTGATATGAAGCAAAATGGGATGAGATAAATACTGGATTTCTGGTTGGAATAGAAGATGACGTCCGAATTAGCCTGTCATCAGGGGGATGCACAACAACCAGTAAAGGAAGACGGAAAGAAAATTTGGTGGCTGAAAGACCTTTTGTATTTCAACCGTGGGCAGGAAAAAACACAGAAGTCATATCTAGATCTTTTTGGTTCAAGAAAAGCAATGGTGAGGAGGAAAGAATGTTCACGTTCATTGTGCACAAACCGTTCATGGAGGAACCTAAGTAATATGAATAAATCAGACTACAAAGGATAATCTACTAAGAAGATGACAACTCCTAAAGATACGATCCATGATAGCAAGACTTATAAATAATAAATTCATTCTTTTGTATTCCCACTAGCAACATCCTGCAATGCGTTGCAGGCTTCTCATGAATTACTTTAACCAGGAAGAAAACGCATGATAAAGCTTGGGATAGAGGACACCCAAATGCTAAAACAAGTCATCGCATTTATGTTAGGGATCTATGTTTAATATCCAAAACGAACACTACGAAAGATTTTTGGCTAAGAACACTATCAGTAGTTAAAAGTAGACTACGCATCAAATCACTCGAAATTAAATATCATATGATTGTCTTTCTCACTTATATCAAATCCAAACAAATCTTGTTTATCCTAAAAAGAAACCCAATATAAAATTAATTACATCAAGATCCCAACTTTAATATTATTAAACCGAAACTTGTACATTCTGACGTCCAGGAGTATCCAGTGGACTCGGAACTTGCAAGCTTTTTTTCGCAAGTGTGGGAAGCCGCTCATCAGCAAGAACCCAAAAACAAGAGCAGCGGTGAGCAAAAAAGAAAATTGCAGAACACAAATGACAAACTAAACCCACAGAACGATGACAGAGATGCAAAAAGGAAACTAACCGGATCACATAATTTGTAGATTTGGAATCAGAATCCTACAACATCATCACGATTCTACAAATAAAGAGATTCGAGTTCAACCCATCAAAATCTTCCTTAATTCATACGGCAAAGTAAACAAAATAGAGAAAAGAAAATTGAAGCAATGCCAATTAGATTCAGAAGAAATCGGAGAATGGAGTAACAGAAATGGCGAAGATAAGGCAGAAACTAACCTTTCAGTTGGAGAAAACAAGAAATGACGCCACTACAAGCTGTATGAAGGTAATGTACAGAGCAAAGCGGAAGAGAAAAGGGTAATAGTAGCTGTGGAATTCGTGATGTGAATGTGGAGTTAAACGAGGCGGTTCAAAACATATTTGAAAAGGGGCGAAAACTGAAAATCTGAAATTGGAGAGGAAAGGGATGGACACGTCCCTACCAGAGGAAGATAGGTACGTGAGCAAGCAAATCACACATGCGAGGAGGCCACTAACTTGTGAAGTAGGAGAATTTTCAATTTTGGCGTAAGATGGAAGAGGTTGAAATGGAAATTTGAGCAAGAAACACTCACCTACGCACTGGGAGAAAGACCCGCCTTTTCAAATGGCTTAATTTTTATGTCACTAATGAGCTATTATTTTGAAATTAAGTTTCTATTAAATGAGTTAATGGCTATTGATAAAATTAAGTATTATTTGATAAATTAAAGCTGTTCCTAGTTAAATTATTCTTGTTATTAATATTTGATAAGAAAATTTTGATTTAGTGAAATTAGTTTTAATTTTTGTTATTGTGATTTGATAAGTTAAAGTTATCATCCTTTTTTATTTTTTATTTTTAAATTAAAGGCATTTTAGTAATTGACTAGTTCTTAGAACCATTTCAAAATTCTTAATTAAGGTTTTCAAATTTGAGATACTTTTGCATCTTCTTCCCTAATTATATTTGTGATTTAATATATGTTAGTATAAAAATCTTTGTAATTTTGTTAAAGCACTTTTTCACATTTGTAAAATTTACTGCAACCTTTGTCTTTAATAAAAACCATCTAACAAATTTGAACAGATAAAAGAAGTTAAGCAAGTTAATTAATTACTTAATGATAAAAAGTATAACGTGATTTCCTAAAACATCTATATTACTATATAATTTATAAGTTAAGTAATTTAATGAGAAAATAATAGATATGATAGACAAGTAAAGTGAATTGAATTTTTACATTTATAACAACTCCCAATTATTCCTACTTCTATATTAGAGAGAGAGGAAGTATTTATATTCTTCCAGTGCTAAATATAAAATTTATTTTATTGTAAAAAGTATACTATAAAATAGGTTTTCTATTTAGAAAAAGATGAGTAATTTATTTTTGAAAGTATTCTTTATATAATTAACTTTCAATTTATTAAAGTCCGTTTGATTATTTTGGGTTATTCCTAACTGTAAAGTCTAATTTCCTTTTATCCCTTATATTAATTATTTTTCCCATAATACTCTGATTTAATGGAGTGTTTGTATTTTTCTCAAGACTAAGTTCTGGTCATAACCATCTTGACCATTTTTATTAGGGGAAATTGGTTTTAAAAAAAATTCCTATTTGAAAATTTAATTACTTAAAAAGATCTAAAATTAAGCGATTGCAACTATGATTCGTATGTGCAACATATCTTTTAGTGTGTGTAAATGACTTTCACATTCATGATTGTTACACATCATTGATGACATGTTGTACATAGCGGAAAATATGTTGTACTCACAGATCATAATTGCACTCACTTAAATTAAGGTCTTTTTAGCTAATTAAATTTTTAAATAGGGATATTTTTACCAATTTTTTCTTTTTATTATGTTATATGAATTAATTAAAAGAACATTGCATTCAGAACAAAAGGGAATGACTTACTCCTCTGGTCCTATTTATAGGATAAAAAGAGAAAAAATTTTTGGTCTATTTATAGGGTGTATTGAGAGAAATTTTTTACATAGATCTACAATTTTACCCTTCGTTTATTCTTGTGTCAGCTTTGTTTATATGAGGTATAATATATATTAAATAGGAATAAAGTTGAAAAATTGTTGAATTTAAAACGAGGATGAATGAAGTTTAAAATTTTTCTGTATGAAGAGTTGCCTGATCATGCTGTTTCTTATTGAATATTTCAAGTGACTCTTCTTCTCCCTCGAAGTTGAACTCTTCTTTTTTCTTCGTTATCCTTTATATTCCATTATTTTGCATTGCCTGGAAATTCCAGTATCATGTTTCAATTTTCTTTGAAAAATGTCTTTCGAATCCGTTCTCTACTAAACTTTGATGCTTTCTTTTCTTGGTTCCTATTATAGCTTTTCTTGAACCTTTTTTTTTTCCCCCTTCTCTTTCATGTTGGTTATGTTTCTCGGGTTTTCTTTTGGTGTTGTTGGTAATGCTATATTTAGTTTTGAAGTATTGTTATATTTTTTCTTCCCATTTGATTCTTGCTGTGAAGCTTGATCGGTGAAGAGCTTACATAATCGTCCTGTGTGCGTGTGTGATTCGTTAGCTTTGCTCTTTTAATATTCTACAGCCTAGCTAAGAGATGCCAAGCCTCTCCACTCGGCCTAATAACTGTTGGTTGGTTTCACTACTTTTAATTATGGGAGAGTAGGTTTTGGTTTCCGAGTTTGAGTGGTTTGAGATAAAGGCTTCTAGATAAAAATCATGAAGTTTAATAAAATGTTAAGAGGGGATGATTTGGTGTAACTCTCTCTCTATTGTTATTATTCAAAATTACACATCATGAATTGGGCATTCTATTATCCATGTTTGCATTTAATGTTTCGGTGACCTTTCTTTTCCCTTCAACAACTTCAATTTTTTTCCCTTGCTTGTTTTTGCACGGTCCCTAAATTAATCAAGTTCCTCAGTAATTTCAGTATGATTTTTGAACTTAACTTGAAGGGCCTGTTTGGATAACGGGCCAAAACATGGTTTGGGAAAAAAAATCATCTAAATAAACACAAATTATCTGAAACCATGGTTTTAGAACCCAAAATCATGGGTTCGGGAGAAGTAAAAAATCTATTATGCTTCTGGCTCAAATTAGAGAGTGTGATTATGCCTATCAGAGTATATTTCAACAATAATATGACTTTAACATCCCTAATTTTTATAAACATATTTAATCTTATATCTTATAAAATATATACACATATTAATTACTTATTAATTTCATTATCTTATGTATTATTAATTATGTTGGTAAAAAAAAATATATTATTAACAATTTTATTCTTCAATTAAAACGTATTATAAAATTTATGTTTTATGTAATTATCATATTAATTTATGTTTTTTTAGTAATTTGCATATATAAAAGTGCTTCTGATAACAACTATCCAAACACTCTCACTTCGCAGAATCACTTTTTCACAAAACTATTCTCTTCATAATCTATTCTCCAAAAGTTATTCTTCAAACTATGGTTTGGTTTTCTCCAAACACCCACAAAGACTGTCTTATTTTTATTGAAAAGTTGAGTCCGTTTGTAGTAATACTTTAATGAATGGGTCTTCATTTTTTATTTTTGGCATTTTGTTTAGTTTTGTATGTTTTCTTTTTCCCCCATTATTGATTTGCTTTAACAGTTTCTTGTTTCTAGCGGTTGGTGTTCTGATTAGTTGAGTTTCTTGTTCAAAGATCAAAAGACATAAATGATATGGTTTAAATAATCAAAAGGTTATATTTGTCTTTCTCCTAGGTGTTATGCTTACCCTTTGGTCTCTTCTTATTATTTTGTTGTTAATTGTATGAGTATTTATGGGATATACTAGCTGCCAATCATTTTCATGCTTTTCTCCCATCTGATATATCGATTCCCTCTGAAGTCTCTCTTCCTCTCTCTCCCCCTTCTTTTGAAATTTTCTCTTCCTACCTTTTTGGGTTTGCTCTTACCACTGGTATCAAGCAGGCACGATACCGAGGATGGCTGACAACACTAGATCTCGAAACCAACTGAAAGAAACACCAAATGGAGGGGGTTCGAATCTTTCATGACCAACTTACCGGAATGCAGGACTTGATGCGCTGAATGTCTATGTAGTTGTTAGACCTTCGGAACCAGAGCGGCCATGACACATGATCATTAGGACAATGACCATCATGTCTCGACAAGGTATACCAAGTTAGACTTCCTCGCATTTTCAACAACTAACATCAATTCTTGGTGGCTAAATGTGAAAGGTATTTCATTCTAGACGAAAATTTCTTAATGGAGGAAGATGTTATTAGCAAGTATAGCATTGGATTGCAACGCATATCGCTGGTTTCAGCATTTTGAAAGGGGATGGAATGGCATGGTACCTTAGTCAGAGTTTACAAGGCAATCCACATTCATTTTAGACTACTTTATAATGATCTAATGGAGAATCTAATGCATTTAAGGTAAACAGGGACACTTACTGGATACTAACGAGATTTTGATTGCCTCATGTGTAAATTGGACCTTCCAGAATCTAAGAGGTTAAGTTGCTTTGTTGGGGGCCTGAAACTTGAATTAGCCAGTGGTGTCAAGTTGCTTTGGCCACAGATATTATTAGAGGCTACCAAGTTGGCTTGTCTGCAGGAGTCAAACCTGGATCCATTGCAATGTTTTGTGTTTGTGGCAGGATCTAGCAAGCCAGTATTTAATACCATGGGATTATTACTCACACCGTCTAAAAGTTTAGCACTACCTCTGAAAGAGAAAATGGATTGGTGTGATGCAAAGAAGCAAGTGAATGCAACAATAATGATTGATTCCAAAGGAGTACTAGGGAGGCTTAATATTGCCTTCCGACAGAAGCTTACCTCAGCAGAGCTGGAAGAATGTAGAGCTAAAAATTTGTGTTATTATTGTCGAGAAAAGTACTCCTTGAGTCATAACTGCGAGGCTAAGAAGAAGATGCAAATATTTCTGATGGAGGTAGTCGATGAATTACCCTTACCAGTTATTGAAGAATTGCTTGTGAGTGATAGAGACTCCTCTGTTTTGGATTCGATAACTCCTGAACACCCAATTATTTCATTAAATGCCATGCATAGGGTCTCTGAGTGTAAAACGATAAGAGTGGTAGGTGAGGTGGGAAAGAAAATGATGTACATTCTCATTGATATTACAAGCACGCATACCTTTAGAAACTCTTTGTTGATTCCGGATATAGAACCAGATATACAAGACCTATTGCCCTTACAGATCTCGGTAGCAGGGGGAGGCAAATTATAGGCTACACAGAAGTGTAATAGTTTGAAGTGGATATCAAAAAGGACACAATTCTCTATGGAGGTTTATTTCTTACCCTTGGTTGGGTGGGACATAGTGCTAGGAATGCAGTGGTTGGGGGAATAGGGCACTATTCAACTCAATTGTAAGGACCTTACCATGAAATTTCTATGGAAAGGTAAGTAAGTCCAGCTCAAC